CGCCATGAACCAAACACACTCCTACAATGTTACCCACCATTGGAGATTAAACAACCGAACTCCAATGAGCATCCTGCATCAAAATCAGTGTATAGCCTGTATAGCATTGCTCCTACAATCGCCGTTTCTGCATTTTTCCCGCAATAACTCATGACTCGTCACGTAGAAATTGTTCATGCCAACGCGCACCTAAATGCCCTCTGATGCGGCTTGCCATTCCCGCAACCAATCTCCACAAATCTTGCCCAAACAACTCCAAACGAATGCAAATGAGCAAATAATCTTTATATAAAATATACTTAGATATATATATATATACATGTAAATATGTGCTGTTTTTCTAAATAAGAGGTGGTGTTATTAACAGTCGCAAGCCGGGTGAAACTCCGCAACTGCAGATATTTCTACTCGCTGGCTAAAGCCTCTGCATGCCTCTGCGGTCGCGCGCAGAGAAACGCATGACGACTCACTTCGGGGGCCCTTGGACCGGCACGCGGAAGTCACTGGCAATTCTGACCAGCTTCAGGAATTCTCCATCGAAGTCGGCCGCGCCAAACTTGCAAACCGAGCGGAAAGAAACAAAACTACAGTATCCCCTCGGATGACCTTCATACATGTTTTCCAAATGTTGCAAGGCATTGGTTCAAACATGTTCCAACACAATATCATTGGAAGCAACTCTCTCTCTCTCTCTGACAACTCAGGTTGTCTTTGACACCCTTTCCGCCCAGAAATGCAAACCAAACCGGAGATGCCAGCAAAGAACAAAACTATCCTCGCATATCTAGTCGGGGGCAACAGCCGATTCAAGTGTCACAGAGAACACGTCTAGATATGTAAGCGTGATTTGGTTTTGCAAAAGTTTTAGCCTTGCCATCCGGACTCATGCCTGTCAGTCTTAACACAATCGAAACTGTTTACGCCAAGAACATTCTTCAACCATGGGGTTCATGGCAAACAGTACTCAGTGTACACTTTTCGCGCCACCCATCAAGACCTTTTGAAGGAACCCTCGTAAGTCCACATCGAAACTGTTTGACCAATGTTTGCAGGTTAGCCAGGTTCATTCACCCAAGAATTCTTATCGCTGGTGGTTTTTTGTCCTCATCAATCTGTTCTTGTTGTTTCACTTTCGGTGCCTCCCACAACTCACGGTACCGCTGCGCTGAAGGATGGCCACCACACAGGTGCCTCGCGCAGCGCCTGCGCGGAGGGTCCAGGATCCGCCACCGTCGCGGGTCACAGGTTGGAAGTTGCTTGGGTGTGGTGGCAATATGCACCACTCGTTCCTGAAAAAACACGTTGGGTTTGCAACTAAGTGTGGCAGATTTGAACACATGTCAATCCCAGAGAGATGATGGCTCAGTTCAACCCGTGTCGCCGATGCAAGCTACTTGATTGACCTCAAGGCAGGTGCCTTTGCCAGCGGGCGCCGCTTGGGATGGGGGAGCCTCTCAGAGTTGAGTTCCCTGCGGGCTCAGCAAACCCCAACGTCGCTGATTGAAAAGATGTGTCACACACGTCGATCCAACGGATGGTCACAGGGATTCCATTAGATTGGTCGCGGAAACGCCAGGAATTTGGGCTGGCTCTTGGAGACCTACCTCGACGACAAAACATCCAGGACACACCATCACAACACGTATATAGTTTTTGGGTCCGGCGCCAAATCAAACAACACACCAAGCCCCACACAACAAGGCCAGCGAAGCATATACAGTAGAAATCAAAAATCAATGTGTTGGATGTGCGAGCCGTGCTGATTCTAGCATGAAGAAGGCCAAGGCTTCAGCCAAACACCCCAGCCGATGGAAGGGAAACAGGCAGTGAACGGGTGTGAAAGACATTTGACTCACACCCAGGCGGAATCCAAACCACAAGGACCAATATCACCCTAAATGTATCACAAAAAACTGGTGCACGAGTTGCCTACCTTCTGGTACTTAGGGCTCCTCACAAAGACACAAACAGAAAAAGAGAGAGAGAGAGAGAGGGAGACAGTATTGGCATGCACGAACCCAAGCAAATTCAATGTGCCAACTTGGTTGGACATCAAGGCAGCACGTCGACATCGGGGCCATCTACAGCTACGGTTGCCATGCGTTCACTTAAAGCAAGCCTAGCCATCCTTAGCCGCATTGAAGCCCGAATGCACAGCTGTCGCTAGGGGATGTTGCTCAAAGACTGGGTCAACGCCAGTGTGGCGAACCACACGCCGCACCACCGAGTGAACGACGTGGATCGGGGCAATGGATCTTGCAAAAAAACAAACATCCACTTGAATAATGCGGCCGGGGCAGGCATTCTTCAAAGGAACCTGGAACGTTATGTCCTTGCAAACCTTCCGGCGCGGGGCGGACTAGTGACTAGCAGCATTGAGCAGAAGGTGATTGCGCGTGAACCCACCACATGAACCAAACCAAATAGCTACAAAATAATGTATTTGCGGCAAGCCCTCTCGGTCACAACGCGCAAAGCTATAGAAGCTTCACAGGACAAGTTCCAACAAGTGCCCTGATCCACACGCAGCTAGGTTTCTGTCTCCCCTTGGCCGGCCGCAGTCTGTGTAGGGAATGACAAAAATCGCCACCCGGCAAGCCGACCGCAAGCACTGCGGGAGGTCCCTGGGCAGAGTGCGCGGCCTGCGCGCAAGATTTTTATTGATGGGTTAGTTGCCTCCAGCACAAGAGCATGCGCGGCAGTAGCTGGACATGAGATGGAGAAGGGGGCTACACGAAGGTATCTTTTGATCCGGCCTATCCAAGGCCTGAAAGATACTGAAGGCCCAAGCTGCAATGATAGCACACCACACACACACACACACACTCAGGACAACATACGTACGGTCTGATTGCCACAGGTCTAGAAGAAGCCTCGGCAAAGTCAGGTTCCAAAGGCATGTTCAGTCTGAAGGTTCCAAAGCATTCCGAAATACAAAGCTCCAAGAGTCACAGCTCCTAACCCGTTACTGCAGCACGACCTCACCAAACCGGGAAACAACCTTCGAGACTCTAGAAGTGGACCGTTGTGATCAAACATCACAAACAAAAGCAGGTACAAGAGTTGGGGCCCCAACTCTCTTCCAACTGATTTCCGTAGTTTCGTTGGCACGGATAGGAAATCACACTCGACACAAAGCCACGCGGATTCCATATGATGCAAACACGAAGGGGTCGCTCGCAAAAATGCTGTGCTGCGCCTGCCATCAAGCACCAGGATGGGGACCCTCAAATAGTACAACCTGTCACGCAGAGTTTGAGGCCGGCTCCTGTCTGATCAACTCGACCATATGACGTATCTTGACTTGGATGATCCATGACGAGCTGGTCAATCCAAGGCTTCAATTGATCTGATTTGGCCCGAATTGATGCATTTTTCCTGGTTTTCGCGGTTTGGGAACTGTCAGGTGAAGGTCACACACTGGTGCTGCCCACGACGTGGCTTCGAACATGTCGAGACATGTGGCAAGTACACACGCAGGGCATCTTCGGATCAACCAACTTGAATATCAAAGCGAAAGTGTTGGCAAAGGGATCAGGTTGGGCTGGGGACACAATTAGCTATGCAGGAAAGGCTGGAATCGTGCTTCGCCATTTCTGACATGTTGTGTGCCGCAAGCAACCGTGAAAACAGTGACAGTTGAATGAAGTTTGCTCCCAAACTGAGAAGGAAGCGGAAGAGATATGCATGTTTCCGCTGAACAACTAAACACTAAAAACTAAAACTAACATTGATTCAATACTGTCAGATGATTCCGCCAAAATCAACATTGCAACAAAAACGCTGTAAAAAGAAACTTGGCCGGATTCCACATAAAACAAAGACGGACAACATCAACATCGAGCTCCGAAGTAAGTGGCACCATACAGTGGTGCATGATGCCTAGCAGCCTAGCAGAACCATTCGTACAGTGAGGGTTCGTTGCAAAACAAATTGGACGAATTTCAAGCACATGAGCCCCTTCGGACACTACCCGCGTGCCACCTAACAATTCGATACAGTCTGCAGTTACAGAGTCTACTGCGTCACAGGCTATAAACCAGACATGTTGCATGCTGCTTCAAACACTATAGTGCCGGACTTTTACTTAGAAACCTGTTTGTTTTCCAAAACTAATTTTCCCATGGCATAGAAACACAGAGTCCATGCAAAAGATCACCACACTTAGAACCCCTGAACGCAAGAAGACACTTAGAAACTTCCTGAAGGATATTGATAAGTTTTGTCCACTTAAATATATGTCCGGCACTGCTAAGGGAAACACACTTAGAAAGCACATTCATCACTTAGAAATCTTGTGGTTTGATTAGAACATATATGAACAAACCATGTTGAGCTGAAAGGAGTGATAACGCTCCTCACTCACACAGAAGCAGCACCTTCCCTTAGAGATTAGAAAGGGTAAACAATTATGTTTGAACCTTCACCGCTTCTGAAAACCACAGACTCAGAAGTGTAGCTTTTACGGAAACAAGACAGCCACTACAACTGTTATGGCACTAAAGCGGCACGTTTTCTTCTGGGCATAAGCGGTGCAAAGAGCACCTCGGTATATCTGTGATCTGCAGGCTGTGGACTGTGGCGAGATAGAACGGTTTCCTTACAACAGACGGTGTTTCTATGTGTTTACAAATTGAAGGTACACTATTGAAAGTACACTTGCAACATTTGCCACTTAGCCCATCGGGAATGCACCTTTTGTGCATGTTTTTGCTTGCAAGTGGAGGGTCCAGGCAATGCCAAAAAAGGTGGTACCTACCGGCATTGGAGACAAAGAACTCTACTATATTCTACTGTTTGTTGTGCATTGCATACCCACAAAGCAGAGTGAGTCTGGCAAAAACACGCAAAAACACCTGTTCAACCGTGTCATTGCCTGGAGTTGGATTGAGCCTGCAATACCCTAGCAGGCTATTGACTGCTATTGACAACAACGATCGGGTTCTAAGTGTGTGTGTCTACATCTGTACATTCATGCATTGCATGCGGGCACCCGTGCATCACAACTGTCCAGTTGCTAGCTCTGCTTCCAGGCGGTCCAACTGCCGCCTCCACACCACATCCTTGGGATGTGCAGTCACGTGTGCGCGCAGGACTGCTTTGATTGCAAGGATGATGGCTTCTGCCTCTGTTCGCTTTGTAGATGAACCCCATTTGGCGGACATGCCACCACGACAGCAAGGGTAGTGCCCCTCCCAAACTTGGGTGGAGCTGTGGTAGGAGATGAAGCAATTCTTAATGTGCCTGGGAAGGTCCGTGAGCCCTTTGCGTTCCAAGGCCAACCATTCAGGTCGCAGGTGAAAAGTCTTCACTTTGTGCACCGGCACACTGCAACCAGCAGGAATGGGAACTTCATCGTCGGAATCTGCAAGGATGAAGAGCGCTTCTTCCTCATCCCTCTCACACTCCATGTTCACCTTCAGCCTTTCATCTTCCAGGGCGTAGGCGTCCTCTTCTCGACCTCCCTCTTCCATATCAACGCTGCCCTCATCCTGCTGCTCTTCCGGCTCATTGTTTGGATGTGTTGCCACCTCCCCCTGGGTGACTGGGTGATACAGAACTGAAGGAACCTCTGTGGCAGCTGCCTCCTGAGAGCAAAGCAGAAGCAGCCGATATGGAGTTGCACCAGCTTCCGCTGTTGACAATGTCAGCTGTGATGGCTCATCACTCAACTTCAACTCAAAGGACACGCAATTGCGATTGACCTGGCCTGCATCATGAATCTGCACTTGTCGCTTTTTGCAGAAGATGAGCCGCTGGGTGCAAGATGCTGCCCAGACATTGTACGATTGCTGCTGGGATGCTGTCAGCTCCCGACCCAAGATTGCACGGGCCTCAATCGCCTTTTGCCATCGGTCATGCTCGTTGACAAACCGGCAAACTCGCATTCCAATCTCACGGCCTATCCATTCTGGTAATCCAATGTGTGTGGATACATTGTCTCCAGTCTGAATTGCCCAATGGAAGCTTTTTTCACCTTCCTGAACTGGCAGAGCATCAGGAAACCAGACCCAATTATAGTCCGTCCTTTGTCCAACTATAAGAAGCATCACCACAGTCACAAAAAGAATGATTTTTTGGGGGGGGATTGTAGGCTTGTAGGAGTCTGGAGTTTCTATGACAGAGGTTTCTAAGTATACTACACATTCCTTTTGCAGGGAAGCATCCAGCTGCTTCAACCGCATGTGCCGGACTGTGCCATCCTCCGCACCATCGAACTCGGGCAGTTCTGTCAAATGGCAAACTGCTTGCATTGATGAGCGGCAGCGTTGAAGCATGTTCTTCATTTCTTTCAAGTTTCCTTATGTAGCTCATCCCGCAAACCAAAAAACATGCCCTGGAAAAAACAAAACTTTGACATTCAAAGGGCCTGAAGCAAAGAATGACTCACACAAAGGTTTGACAAGCATCCCTCAAAGAGCCACTCGGCTATGTCAACATCAGTGCTGTAACCACGCTGGTACCATGCCAGCCAAATGAGTTTGTTGTACCTCAGCCATCTTCACACTTAGAAACCCTTGGGAACGGCTCCCCCGGAACAAACAGATCTGCATATTTGTTTTATTGATAAAATGCATACATATATACATATATTACTATGTTAGATGAATACTGCCAAAGTTTATACATGTGAAGTAAAGCGGCTTGTCGCTGGATAGCTGCTGCAGTGCCCACGCATCAGCACGCAATGATACCTCAATAGGACACCTTGGCGCCAGTATTCAATGTGGGTAACCATATACTTAGAAACATTCACAACTCATTCTCTACCATTTTGGGAAGTAAACAGAACAGCTGGATGCCAGCATACATTCATTTCAGATACAAAAGAAACTATCCTACATCATGTTCATCAGAAAAACTCCAAAAAGGCTCACTATTGGTCACCTGGGAACCTTGTCTGTGGCGTTGCTTGAACACTCATTTCCAGCTCATCTAGGCGCTTCCTGAGAAGAGGTGCTGATCCCCACCCAACTGCGCACCGGAGGTACCCTTTCGTGAGGGAATGCAATGCAGCATGCCATCCATCGTTAGGTCCAGCTGCCGCCCCGAATCCTCCCGGTATTGGCACTTCACTGTGACCACATAGCAACTCCTTGGTGAAAGGGCAGCACTATCAATGCATTTAACACAGAATTCAGTTACATGTTTCAAGCAAAAACAAAAGTTCACCTACACTTGGAAACCCATCCCCATGCTCCCCAAAGGCCCCAAAGTGCACTCAATGAAGAATGGGTGTCAACGTTGTGTTGCTGGCACCATTGCATCTGCAGCTTCTGAAAAGTGGTGGACATGTGGGCACCAGCCTGGTCGCACATAATGAGTGCTCGATGGCAATGCTTGAGGCCAAGTTGTACACGTCGAACTCGCAGTTCCCCGGCTAAAAAGTCCAGGTACCGAATCATAGTGGCTTCATTCCAGACGTGGCTTTTTGATTGCGGCTCCTCAATAAAGAGGTATTTCTCGAGTTCAACGTTGGCCTGGTTGCGCGCTGCATCTGAGATACCTCCTTTCCTAAACGTGACATAGGCTCTGCCGATGAACCCATCTATGAATGATAGAGTTGTGAGGCTGCGGGGTTGTCTCCACTCGCTGACTGTGCAGGAAGCTGCTGCTAAACCAGTCACTTGAGGGATAGATGGGGTATCCTTCACGGGCCCTCTGGTAGGGTCTGTCTCCGATAGAGGTAGTTCAAGGGAGCGCTCAATTTGATGACGGACCTTCCTCAAATAAGTGCTGCGGCAAAGTGGATCTTTGGCAATGTTTCTCCATGATGCAGCCTTTTGGAGCGTTTTCTGCTGTGGTCTGTAGATTGTCGACCAAACCTGGTCAAAATTCCCTATCAATCGAGGATGGCATCCCTTTTCTCGAGCGGTGTGCTGAATATAAGACCTTACTTTCTCCAGCAGCGGGTTGTTGAAATCCAGATGTGGCCCTGGTTTGCTATTGCTAACCGCACGGATGCCAAACTTGGCACATAGGCGTTGGGCCCGTTTCCTTGGCAAGCAACAAGAAGGTGTGGCAAGCAGCAAGAAGGTGGGCATGCCAACCTTGATAGCAATGGCCTCCCGGCCTCCCTTCTAATAGCGATGGCCTAATAGTAATGGCCTCCAACCTACGCAACCTAATAGCAATGCCTCCAACCAAATGGCAACGGCCTTCAACCTAATACCAATCACCTCCAACTTAATAGATCTTAATAGGAATGGCCCCCCTTCTAATAGCAGTAACCTCCAACCTAATAGCAATGGCCTCCAACCTAATAGCAATTGTCTTGGACCTAATACCAATCACCTCCAATTTAATAGCAATGGCCTCCCTTTTAATGGCAATAACCTCCGACCTAATAGCAACGGCCTCCAACCTATGTATATAATATATATATATATACACAAATCCCTCTTTCAGTTAGGGGTCTGAGGCTCTGAGGTTATGGAACATACTTGCATGCTTCCCTTAGCAACACTTAGAAATGAAGCAAGCCTGCGCCGAGCCACAGCAATGCAGCATCTGTGTCTTTCAGGTGGACCGGTCTCATCATTTGCTGAGCTGCCTTGAGAACAGTAGCAAACCTCCCATTGAGCTCCGTTTCAGAAAGGTCAGCCAAGTGCGAGTCCTGTTGCTTCAGCATGTTCCAAACATTGTCCCGGAGCAACTGCTCCATGGTGCTGATGCATTCATTCCACAGCTCTACTGCAAAGCAAATGGTTTGGGAGGCAAATGTCATAGTCATTTCTTCACCTCTCACGATTCGATCCATGAGCATGTCCTCGATGCATATCTCAAGCGGTGGTGGCAAATGGACCTGCTCCCCGTTCCCACTTGCGACATGATTGTGCTTCAGACTGCCCAATTGCAAAATCTTCCGCAATGCATTGGGCAGTTCTTTGTGACGCTTGCACAGTGCCGGAGCTGTTTTGCACAGCAATGTCCATGATTGCGCTACCCTGATTGAACCCCACTTGGTCTTGCACATGCAGCCCTTGAAGTAGCCGTGCATTGATTTCACCTGTTTCAAGGCTTGCTCATCACCAGCACCCTTGGCCTTCTCATAGGCCTGGAAGATTTGCTCCTTCTGATAAATGCTGGTCATTGTTTTCTTTCCTTTTGCTTTGTGGTTGCCTCTTCCTCTTCTCTTCTGAACCAGCTCTTTGCGCACCTTGCGCAACCAGGCTTGCTTCCCCCGACACCGGTGCAGCACAGAACCTTGATACTCAACCAGTCTTGGCTCATTGGTTGCGCTGTCTTTGGCCATTGCTGCCGACAAACTCTGGGTTGAAGGATGTGGCAAACACTGTTGGCCAGCTTTCTGCTGCAGGGACGCTGCCTCTGGGGATGTGCAGGCAGTCTGATCTCTCCAAACTTTGCAGCATACAAAGCTGGTGATGGTGACAGCTTGCACGACAGTTCCGGTAAAACTATTTCCTGCCAGGCTTTGTGCAAAAGGCTTCTTTTCTAGCATCTTGTCATAGCTCTCCACATTCTCTGCATCAGCCCTGAAAATTGCTTGCGCGTTCAAAAGCTCAGCGGGAAGTAGGTATCGCTTGTAAAGGGCACTGTACACATCATGCGACGGCGTTATGCAAGTTGTGCCCTCCAGGTTTAATTCCAGCTTCCGGGATTCTGAACCAGATGCATCAAAGAAGACATTCTGAGTTCCCGCGGCCTTGGCTGGAGCAACACACCAAGAGAAAGAATACTTGGAATCTCAAGATAACCACAGGGGCTGCCTTCATGCATACATACAACTGCATAGATGGAAATAAACAGCCTATGGATGACACTTGGAAACCTATATAGTCCTGACCAGTACTGTATTTGCATTTCTTGCAGTCTAGCAGCCTTTCCTTCTTCTAATGCCCGAGCTAGCATTTGTGTCTCTCTGTCTGTACGTGGTGGTACTTCTGGTGCATCCTGGATGAAGCATTCCTCCATGGGGAAGTGCAAGTCTGTCTGCAGGCTTTTCAATGTGGCAGCAAAGTGGGATGGAAAGTCTGCAAGACCAAGGCCCCTGTCAAGCTCCATACATGCATAAAGTCTGTTCCGCCGTTGCCGAACCACAAATTTTTGGCTGTCCACAATCTGTGATGCAACTTTGTAGCCAAGATCTGTCACATCAGTCTTTAATACCTCAATGAACTGTGCTACCCACAAAGCACCAGCCAATCTTTTTAACCCAACCATGCTACACTTAGAACCCGTCAGGAAACACCCTCTACTATTATAGCGCAAAAAACTCAATAGCAGGTGGAGAGAAAAACTGTTGAGTCCAAGCTGCTTGCAGAGCTGGAGGGTGAACATTGCCATCATTGTCTCTAACAGGCTCAGCTGCTCCGCGGACATTTTCGTAAATAGAGACCAATGGATTCAGCCGCTCTATTACCTTGCTTGGCTGAGGTACACAGATAACAAACAATTCAGAACTGAACCACAGCCAGTTGGGAAAAAGTAAAACTAAACGGACTGTATACTTAGTATACAGAACATAGTTTGCTGAATTAATCAGGCCAAGAACTGCTTTGCAGCCATCTCTGTATGTGGTCCCGCTTGTGCCGAGATCTCCCTTGCCAGAATAGCAGCCAGCGTGGTTTGCACGAGAAGCTTTCAGCTTGCCTACAGGGCAAGCCGCTGAGCATCACAAACATACGGAAACTTCGTAGCATATAATATATATATATATATCCTTCCACCAAGCATGAGATGTATCAAATCAAAGGCAATTGTTACACACTTAGAACCCCAACAAACAAAACATAAAAATGTATTTGATACAGATGAAGGACTGACATCTTTGCAAGAAGGTCCAACAAAATGAAGGTCCACTGCATGCATCTCCTTGGAAATCTTGTGGGTTTCATTGCATCTGTAGCAATACCCCTCCCCAATGGTGAAGCATGCAACATCTGCATAGAGATGCTCAACATCCTCAAATGACTGCAATAGGTAATTCCGCTTTCCTTCATCCAGCTCAGCGCTGAATACATGCCGCATGCCAATGTGAACCTTAGATTGCAAGGAATGCACGCGCAGCAATAAAAGACAGAGGCCCCGGGGATTCGTTTAATGTAAATTTCATATATCTTTATAATACACACACGTTACACGTTGACATCGCAGTCTAGCAAAAGCAACCAATCTGCCAGGCAGCATTGAACTCCCGGTTCATTTGGCGCAGCACACTCTTCAAAGCAATGATGCAAATGTCACTTCCTGAACATGTAGAACCAACTCGAATCTTCTTCCCGTCCAACATGAGTGCAGTTTGGCGTAGAAGATCGTAGTCTGGACTGGATAGGAGCTTGAAAAAAAACGGAGCTGTCTCATAGAGGGATGCTCTTTGTGGTGGGAGTATGTGCAGCCCGCTGGTTAGCATTTGGCGCTGGCATGCCCAGTGGCGATTGCGAAACTTTTGGGTGGTCAGTCGCACACGGATCCCTTGGTCAAATACCTTTATCATCCTCAGTGTCCATTTGCAAACGGTCTTTCCTGCCTGCAATGTGGCTTTCCAGTATTGGGCATCTGGGTCAAAGTCGCGTACTTTTTGCATTGTTTGGCACTCTATCACTTCAGCCACCCCAGTATAGACAGATTGGGAGCCCTTGTCTATAGATTCAATGATGTGGAACAAGGCAGGAAGATGCTTCAAAGGATAACCTCGATACAAGACTACCTGCTGCCCAAGGGCTGGAACTTGGTTGCCGCGCAGCATCAAACAATTTACCCATTCACTCGGATCTTCCTCTGCTGACATCTGTGGCAGTTGCTGCTGCTGCTCCTGTGGGCTATGCTTTGCATCTGACTGTGAGAGGACCAGCTGCTCCTTTAACTCTTGCAGTGCCCTTTCTCCTTCTGTCAGGATGCTCTCTTCTGACATCCTTCGCAACCGGGGTCGCCTCTCTGGCGGCTTTGGAATACTCAATTGCATCTCCACCTGAGTCTTCCGGTGTGCTTTCTTTGGAGTTTCTATGGCCTCTTCCTTAACTGCTGCGCAAAGGCGTCTTTTGGAGCCACGTGGTTCCAAGGATTCATTCTTTTCTGACAGGCTATCTTCGTCTAACGTCAGATCAATCATCTTTGGCAAATCATGCCTGCTCCTTTTGGTGGGCCGCTGCTGCTCCTGCTTGATCTCTGCTTTGATTCCTGGCTGCTGCTGCTCCTGCTTGATCTTCAATGCAAGAAATTCTTGAAATTGAGTGCTAAGGCCTGCTGCCTTCAGTTGATCCAGCAGTTGCTGCGGGATTTCTTCAGCTCCATGTTGTGGGGCAGCTGTGCTTGCTACTGCTTGGGGCGCTAAAGTCCCTGCTGGCTGCTGCAGGTGCTGCTGCTTGCTAGCATTCAATGCTTGGGTCATCTCTTCATTGGTGCGGGACGGCCCTGCTGGCTGCTGTGTTTGAGATGGGGCTGCTGGCAGTGCTGCTGACATAGGGGCTGCTTCTGGTTGGGCCTGCATGGAAGAA